TTTATATATATATAAAAAGGCAAGGTGGGGAGGGGTATCCATTTTAAATAGCCTAACAGCTTCATTTGCTGCACTGCCAAATTAGAACAGAATAAAATAAAGTTAAAAAAGGGGGGGGGTTTAAAATAAATTATACATAATTTACTAATCTGGGAACAGCTGACCATTATTATTATTATAATTACCATTACAACACTAGCAAGAAGAGGCAGTTCAACTGAAAAAAAACCCAACACAGTCATAAAATACAAACGAAAAGAACCCTCTCTGACATGGAGGATATGATCAGCTACTCCAAGCATAAATTCAGAGCAAATCTTCTGAGAGAGAGAAAATAGAAAAGAATTTTTCCAGGCAGAGGTGGAAATAAAAAAAGGGAAAACAGGAGAAAAATAAAACAGATATTGCAGGGTAAAACTATCACACGCCCAAACCGCTCGCTGGAGTATTGTCCTAAGTCTTCAATGGCATTTGCTTGTTTGCTTTGCACAAGGTCTGCAGAGGTCAAGTTACACTTCAAGTGGGATCTCAGGAGGCAAAGACAGACTCCCCACACCCTCCTTCCCAGTCCCTCCCACCTGCTCCTTTCATCCTGCACCTGGACTTCAACGGCTGATTGCACCAAGGGCTACATTTGCCTGATGAAGGGACCACTGGCAGAATCAAGGTTGCCAAGTGCTGAAGAGCATGGCTCTGGTGAATGCTTGAGCTGGGATCTCACTGGCACTAGGATAAAAAATATTTTTACAAGTCAAAAGTGGTAACGACAGCAATGAGTCTCTCTGTAGGAGTAGGAATTTACCAGGGAGTAACGTAAATACAACGGTAGCATCCTCGGTTAGAAAACCGACTCAGAGGAAGGCTTTTGCCTCAGTACAATCCTAAGACTTTCCTTCCCAGGCCAGAGAGGAGCTCCTGGATAGCTGCTGTTTGAAATTAGGGGTAGCCTTTTCAGTTCGTTGGTTGGCTGGTTGGTTTAAACCTAACACATCTGTCCTGCTACATGAACCTGGGTCCTCTCCTTCTACAGGAAGATCAGAGTGAGGAGATGAAGAGAGACTCTTCGATTCACTTGTATTTACATTCTTTTTTCTGAAATAAAGCGCAACGTTCAGTTATCTTATTGGAAATACAAGAGGCTAACTTCTGCTCAGGAATACGCTTGTGTAAGTCCACCTTCCTCACCTGGTTGCAGTGGCCCAAGGAACGCAAAACTGCCCCAGCAGCATACCTAAGGGCTCTAGAACAACGCTGACAATATTTTAGCCTGGGAGAACAATTTTTCACTTGTGAGAGGCAGCAGCTATAGGGAAACTCGGCACCGCAAAGGTTCGGGTTCTTACATGCCCACTTTGAATATGGAAATCTCTTCATAGCTATTAGTCTTCCTTCCTACACAAACATCCCACCGATAAAAATTGATTTCTGCAAGTGCAAAGAAGAAAAAAATGTCAGTTTAAAAAAAAATCGCCTCTTGAATCTGAGATCAGTATTCAGCCACCCTGAAGGTACGAGTTCATCAAAACTGGACATCATGGTAACCTAATTACACTCAGCGAGGAGGTAACATTTCCAGTTGCCCTGTCCTGTGCAGAACAAATCACATTTTGGACAAGCCTTTTTTATGTTGTATATGCTGCCACTTGAAGTGTAAATTAAAAGCAAAGGCTCCTTACAGACCACGCATTTTGAGGGTGTGGGACTTCATTCTGGAACATGCTTTTTGCTCACAATAGTCCGATATTATTCTTATTAGTACCATAAACATGCACACATGAAAATCCAAGACCATAAAATACTTTATCTCTAAATGTCTTATGTCTCTCTCTCTCTCTCTCTCTCTCTTTTTTCACCTGAGAATGGCACCTACAGTTTCCTTTAAAAAGCAAAACCAAACCCAAAAATATATGTCTAATCTCACCAGCTGCTGGTATATCAGGTTCTTCATGGGATTGTCTAAGATACAACACTGTCCTAACTTAAGACAGAGCAGGAAGCAAAAGAAAAGCAAAAGCAAAACAAAACAAGGAACAAGGAGACCGACCAAAAAAAAGCAAATTGGACTAGTTCAGCGCTTTAGTACAAATTTGGCACTTGCTCAAAGACTCAGTATGGTGTGCAACTGATGAAGAGAAGTCCTCTCTTGAAAGGAAATAATTGCTTGTTGGGGTTAACAGAAAGAGACTCCCCACTTCCTTCCTTGCCAGCCACGCGCACAGGCACGCACGCACACACACACACGCACACTTCTGACCCAGATTTGCCAGGGAGGAGGAGGAGGAGCAGGAGACAGAGGGGGTAAAAGGAATTTTATCTTTTTTCTTTCCTGTCAGGTGCATTACCAAAAACAAAAAAAAAATTATTTCTCTTTAAACTGTAGCACAAAACAACAAAACACATTCACAAGCCACTTGTTGGCACTGTGTACCTGAGTGAGAATTTCTAGAACATTGTAGAACAAACAGCCATAAAGTTTATTTGAAAAAAAAATAATAATAATAAAAGGTCGACGGGTAAGACTTCAGTGCTTGGGTATAGCAGCTGAATTACTGGCATTATTTTACCCATAGCTTATATCATTCTGTTGTTGTCGTCGTTGTCTTTGTTTCCTTTCTTCTGAGCCTTTTTAATTCTGATGCAGGCTGATGTCTATTAGTCAGCTGATGTCCCAACTAGTTAAGACTAACAGTTAAAGTAACAGTCAGTGTATGAGAAAGTTAATGTGCTTGGCCACTGGCAAGGATAAACCAGATGGGGCTTTATTTATTTTTTCTTTTCTCCTTGAAGTCCTCTAGGTCATAAGATATTTGGACCCTGATCAGTTGGCTTGCCCCGCAATGTGATTTTCACTGTCACTGCCATAGTCCGCATCGGGGTCATCCTCCTCCTCATCGTATTCATCGTAGATTTCTCCATTGACGTCATCGGTTTGCATCTCTTCCTTGATATGAGGCTCCTCGCCTTTGATGCCGTAAGTGCTCTGGATGACGGGCATCCCGGGCTCCGGGCTGCTGGACACACTCGAGTGCTCGGAGGGCAGATGTGGGGAAGGCATTCCTGCCATGTGGGGAAGGCATCCCTGCCATGGCAATGGCTCCTGGGTAAACTACACCCGCGGTGGCAATGGGAATCTGTGCTTGTTGCCTGCCGTGGAGAAAAAGTAAAAGGATGTTTGAATACTGGAAGGATTAAAGGGAGGGCAAGTACAACAGCACTTTGCAAGACCATAGCATATACACCTGGGCATGCAGAGGAAGCTCCTGGATGGCTCATGCAAGACTTCTTATATCAATATTCCAGACTCACCAGCTGATGCTCTTGAAATGAACATCAAGCCCAAACCAACTTCACTGATAAGAAAACCCAATCTCTGTAAACATCTCTAGCTGGACCTGAACTACACAGCTTCAGCTTGCCTGCTTGTGATGCAAACTTCTTCAGCGGGTAAACTGGGTGTCCCATGAGCTTCCAGCCAAAAATAAACATCCTTTCAATTATGGTCCAACTTAAAAAACCCAAGTTTTGAAAATCTTCCTTTTAAATAATCCAAGCTGCTGGCAGGACTAGACATAAAAGTAACACATTGCCAACATGACAGACGTGTCGAGGGCTAGGTAATTTGCACAGGAATGGGGAGGTGCAGCAGAAAAGGACCAGTGGATGAGCAGAAAGCTAGGCAGGTCTCTCCAAACAGGCAATGTTTACTCCACGTTCACTCAGAGACCTGGCCATTATTAGGGAGAGGAACAGTGGGCTTTCTGGGGCCAACACGGGTTTATAGGATAATCACTAAAGGCCTCCCACTGGAAGGTGATAGTTTCCACAGTGAGTGTCACTTGTGAAAAGCAGAACTTCTGAAGGAAGGTGGCTAAAATTGGGAAAAGGCAGGCTCAAAACAGAAGCATGCATTATTTAAAAATAAATAAAAAGCAAGCAAGCTTTTTGAGAAAATCCTCTACAGGATGCCTTTATACGGCATCTAAGCCATGGAAACCTGTCTGCAGTAATGAAAGAAGAATTATTCCAGGCCATAGAAATTCCCTTTGCATCAAGAACACTAGCTGTGTTACACCAGTATTTGTTTCCCTGAGAAGCTTCAGGGTCCCAACAAGCCTAGAGGTTTAGAATTCATGCTCCTTTTGTTTCCTTGCTGCATGAAGTAATTCCATTGCAGTAATACTCTTCAGTACATGCTGCACATTGTAATGTCATCAGCGGTGTGTCCATCTGCACTGAAAAGCCTTGCCACAGGAGACAGGGCAGAGTCTCTTGAGACGAACATTCTTAATTAAGAATGAAACCCTCCCCTGTTCCCCTGCCTGCCTGTGCCCTGGCTCTACAGTAAGCCTTGCACAGTACAGTGATCCTGAAAGACTCTCCTCTGCCAAACAGCTTTACATTTGTTTGGAATTGCTTGCTGCGTTTTCAGATACTTCCTGCCTGCCATTCGAGCGCGGCCTCCCTCCGCACAGTCCTTATTTCTGCGTTTCTGAAACAAGTAGAAGTTGTCTCAGCCGAAGATACAGCTCTTAAAGTAGGGAGCGGATCTAATTTGCATTTTATTCTTAATTCAATAGGAAGGCTTTTGTTTTCTGGAGTCAGCATTTCTGTAACAAGATTCAGCACACTTAAATTGCTTTTAATATTTAACAATAGGAACACTTTGCACTTAAATGGTGCTTTTCAGAGTGCTTTTCAAATATTAAATAATTTAAGAATTGCATTTTTCCACTTCTATTGGATGTCCATTCCAGAGGATCTCAAAGCAGTCCTCGGATACTAATGTATTAGGGCTCTCAGCAGTCCATTGAGGTGAGCTTGCCACAGTACCATTAAAGACCAGGACACTGAGACAGGGAAGCGTTAAGTCCAAGACTTGCAAAAAATGCCCAATCCTTCCCACTGCGATGCCTTCAGCCAGGCTTTCGGCACATCCCAGCGGCTGGCATAGCCACAGCCCTTGTAAACCCAGACACTTATTTTGGTGCCCAGGCAGGAGCCGGACTGGTGTTCAGAAGTTTAGCCGTAAATGGCCTGCACCAGGTGATGCAGCGGACGGGGAGCTAAAACCAGGAATGCAACTGTAGTGTTGTGACTGCCGGCATCAAACACTGACCCCACTGCTGTCATCGGCCGCTTTGTCAGTAACTTCTATGAAGATTTCACCCCAGGTTCTGTGCTCTAATGCCCCAGTGCAAGCGATCTCCAGAAACGTCTTGATTTCAATGTCAGCCTTGTTTGGAAAGCTAAATAATATGCAGAATGTTACAAGATTAATTTTTTTTCCCCATGATGAAGCATGCATGTTAACCAGATAAGCAGTGTTTTGGGGGCTCTGTTGCCACCTATTCTTTTTCCAGAAGGCCCCCCCTCCTCTTTTTTTAATCTCTTGATGCCAAATGTTGGCTGACTTCCCTGTGTTTGTTTCAGTGCTTACCATTGGGATCACTGGACCTGCCAGCGCCACAGGGTTAAGCAGCTCAAATTTCTCTGCTGAGCGGCTTATTATAACAATGCACACTGTAGCTGTTTAAAACACAGTCTGATGACACTTAACAGTTGCTGGACAGATATTCTCTCCTTTATTGCTACTTCTAGCTGTTAACTAGAGAGATGTGCAACTCAGTTAATATTAAAACGATTCCAAATTCAGATGAAACAGAACACAAATTCCATTATTTCTGAGGGTCGTTCTTGTTGCTGGTTTTACTTTCTTTAAGACCACTGTGTAGCTTTTAATTTTCTGGAGTGAATACAGAGATATTGCAGAATATTTCATTACTTCTGATTCTTTTGATCTACTGTAACCAAAACCAAGAAGTCTTCGCAGAAGGAAAATACATGCTAGTTTTCCAGGAAGATTTTAACGTAATCGTATCAAGCTCATCTACTAGCTGTTTATCAGAACCATTCTTCTTGAAATTTATGCTCACCACAAAGCATTTAGCTTACTGTATTGGAAGGCACTCCCTAGAATGGCAAATGCCGTCACGATGAGCAATGCAGACAACTTCATGCCTGATACAAATTAACTGAGCCAAGGCCATATTCCAGCTCAAGTTCAGTATGTCCAGCAGTCCTGTTGCAGACCACTTGCCACAGATGACACTGAATGCAAACTCAAATTTTTGGCTTTTGGATCAAGAGGCACTACCATAGGTTAATTCAGATACACTCTCTGAGGCCTCATGATAAAGTAATACTTATAAGGCATTATTAGTTTTACATATTAGTTTTTTCCTTTTGCATGATCAGAGTGGAAATGAGACAGTTGGCCGAAGCTGTAAGATGAGTATATAGCAGAGCCAACAAAAAAATCCCTAACTGCCTAACTTCCTCCTGGAACACATTGTTTTAAAGTATAAGCTTCATATTCTGTTAGCAATATGTAATGTTCTTGCCAATAAAATATAACATTTACCACACTGAATTAAGAATTCTCCCTGAATTTTTTTTTTTCTGTAATGAGCGGTAGTTTTTAAAGGTCCCATACCCAACATTAAAATACTGCCTCATCTCCTGGCGTCTGTTGCGCATGATAGCCTTGTACTCGCCAATGCGTAATTTTTTGCCATCTACAAGGCAGGTACGCTTCGGTCTTGGCTTATATTTGTAGTCTGGGTATTTCTCCAGGTGCTGTTTGCTGAGCCGGGCCTGCTCCTCATAGTATGGCTGCTTCTCTAGGTTTGTCATAGCTTTCCAGCGAGATCCTGTCACCAAAAAAAAAAAAGAAAAAAAAAAAGAATGAGAAATGAGATTCTACTCATCCACAAACACTGAAAGGCAGAGAAACAAGTAGGTCACCCAGAACAAGATACCTACGGTCATATCGCTTTGGGCTGGGAATCTGTCAGAGCTTCTAGACAGGGGTCAGGTCTTGTTTGTGTTCGACTGGTAAACCTCTTGGGTATGGCCAAGAGGCAGAGCAAGAAGATACTAGAAGTTTTGACTGAATATTTTACTGAAACTTATCTAGGTTATAACGTATTTCAGGTGGGAATTAAAACGATCTTCCGGATAATGAGCAATCCCTGACACTTTGTTTTAGAAAACCAGGCAGCGTATTTTAGTCGAATGGCTCAAGACCCCTTAAAGACACAGAGTCTGCTCTGCTATGTCCCCCCGCCGCGGGCTTTCCTTTGGCCATGGACCTGTTTTCACCTCCTGTTCTAGAGGAGACACCGCTGCCAGGTGCTGCGATAGAGTCGCTGTACTCCACCACGGCTGGATCAAGGTAAGTCTGGATATGCACGTGACTATAGATTAGTCTTTCATGACAAATACCGTTATCTTTCTAGCTTCCAGGTTTGTGAGAAGCAGAACATGAACTGATGGTAAATGCTATGCTGTTGGGTACAGGAGCCTGCAAGGACCCTGAAGCGATGCCGCTAAAAGCTATAAACTACCTCATATGCCTCAGTGGGATTTTAACTCCAAGACCAAGTCCTGGTAAACACTGCCAGCTCCAACTTAAAGAATTTAGTATGTGTCATGAAGGGAAGAGCACTGGGATACTGGCACACCTCTCCACAGAGCCACACTATGGCTTCACTGCTGGCAGCTGTGTTTCTGACACTCTGCCTACATTAGTGTGAGTATTTCAGCTATGGAAATAATGAAGGCTTTACAATTGTTTTCAAATACTCTCTGAAATTTATAAACTAATATTTCTTAAAGGACATAATATGGGAGCAAAAAGTAAAATTTCTTGAATCAGTTAACCTATTTTATTTTTCCATGAACTACAGAAGTGCTTCAGGGTAAGATACATTACAAATAACAGGAATAGTCCAAGCTGTGAAACATGATGAACTATAGAAGTGCTTCAGGGTAAGATACATATATAACAGGAATAGTCCAAGCTGTGAAACATGTGGCCTAGAAGGAAAACTTTATTGGAAAATAGTCAATTTTTCCATTGGAAAAAAAGTTTGAATGGTTTCTCAATTTAATGGGTTCATAATGTCATACGTCATACTCGACTTCCTCTTGTTCTTCATTTTTTATGGTTACTCATACTGTACTTAGCTCATGCTATTACTCAGGCTGGTCTTATCTCACTGTGCCCCTAAGACTCGCAATACAGAGAGCGCAGTTATCACTTCCCAGGAAAGAAAACAGTTTGGTTGCCTACAGAAAGTCCCCTTCTGATTATTGACACCATTTTCCCCATTGCTCTTGGAATCTTTACTCCAAGCTGCAGTTTGGGCTTCTGTAGTGAAGGGCTAGCAGGCTGGTACAGCCTGACCTCACACCGAGAGATAACCGATCCGTAAATAATGATGTCTTTGTTCTGAAGAGGAGCAATGGACATCCCTTTCTTAGCAAACATTACCTTGGAGTCAAAACCATCATTTTTCATGATGATTACAACATGTAGCATGCAGGGATCTTCCATCTAGTTCTGGACTGGGAAACAGTTTAATTACATTGTTTTTAGCTTAGGCGCAGCACCCTGTTAGCATGGCTAGATGGTTTCTAGGATTTGGACTAACACTCCTGCACGGCGCTTCGTATGTCATACAGAGGTAGTGTCTGTGCAGGAGGACCTGTGGCAGGGCTCTGTGTTCCATGGGGCAGCAAACCTCTGCGGCCAGAATCCTGGTCAGCAGCTTTGTCTCCTGCAGAGAAATTATCCCAAGCTTTTTCCGGCAAAGAGAGTGGCTAGAAAAAGTGACACCAACTTTCCACACATACTACCTCCTAGATTTTGGCTGAAATGACACAGTGATAAACATGTGGACACTGCCAAAACACTTAACACCGACTAACGCTGCATAAGATGGAAACACAGATAGGGCCTGTGTTGAACAATGCGAAGAGTTCAGGGCAAAGCACATGAGCTCTACTGGAAGATGCCCAGAAGTAGGTCTACTTTCAAATTCTACCTGGTAGACACTGGCACACTGGCGTTTTAGCATATGAAGAAAATCACAAAAGTTAGTCTAAATCTAGAGTTCTCTAATCACAGACCTGCTGTTATCCCAGTGGCTTAGAAAAACAGCCCCAGCCCCATTTCCTGCTGATGAATCAGTTTTAATTTATGAATGATATAGCTGAAAACCTCACAGACTTTAAACAAATCTTGACACTTGCTTTACATGCTGTCAGGGAACCTGCAATGTAGGAACTCAGATATATTCTGAGACAGATGGACAGACAGAAAGGTGGAAATTAAAATCTTAGAAATTAGAAAATGAAATGCAAAATTGCCATGAAAATGTTCTATCTCAGCACAATTCTTGTTTCACTGCGCTAGCTCACTTGCTGCAATCCTACAGTCAGATCTGGGCAGGCAGACTCCTATCCCCTCATGTGAAAAGATCTGTAAATAGTGGGTGAAGTTAGACAAACTCATAAGTCTTTGCAGGATCAGGGCCATAAAAACTGAAATTTTGATGCATAGTATTTGTACATACAGTTACACATACAATATTTATACATAAATGTCATTCGTTATGTTTTTCCTTCTTAAGCTGCAAACTCAATACAACAGAAATCCTGGCAGTCTCACCTCTATTCCTAGCAAATTTTTAATAGCTGCCTTCTGCAATGATACCTCCTCTACTATGACTTCATCGTTTTTACAAAATATACTAAATATAATTTACTAGTATGTTTTGAAGTCTCATAAATGATTAAACAAACAATGTTGTCAAAATAAATTTTGAAAAATGGCTCATCTTCTGATGATAAACCCTTGTTTTTTACATTTTATCATTTCCACTTATTTTCTTAGTAACATACAAAATCCAACCAGCTCCTGATTCGTCTTAATCTGAAATTGTGAAAATTGGAAGAATATATAACTCTAATCTTTGAATTTGCACCCACGGGCAAGCTAAGCTATCAATGAGTATCGTCAATCAACATACTGAAACTGGTTTAAAATACCCTGGTTTTGGACAAAATTTATTTGTAATAGCTTTATCTGCCATTGGTTTATGTGTCTATAAACACACACAGACAGGCACAGGTACCTATGCACAGTGCCAAGCCCAAGCCCAAACAAGGTGTGATTGGAAGAATCTTGAAAAATCTTTCTTTTTAAGGGAAGTTTTACACTCTTGGGTGAGCTTTCTGCTCACCATCTCTGTTAGAGAGCTTTGAGTGGATCAAGTATTCATGGCTTTTCTCCTTGACTATGAAAATAAGAACCCATTCCTATGAAAATAAGAACCCATGCCTGCTCCCAGGATGCATACATAACAACGAGCAGGATTCTCGCACAACTCGCCCTGATCTGGTGGCTGAGGTATTTAGAAAATAAATGAGAAAATTCTAAGACTTTGCAAAACCAAACGTGGCTCCTACTCCCAAAATGAGCTAGGGCAGTGAGAGCTGTGCCCACACGACGACTGCGAAGATGGCTGCAGAGGGCCAGTTATTTGAGTCCAGGTCAGAAAAGAGGTTCCCCGATGTGTTGCACCAGCACTTGTGCTCAGGCACACAGACACATGCCCTAGCTGAGGTTAGGAGCTCTGCTTTCCGCTGATTTTAAGCCAAGTTCCTCTGACAAGAATTTTCAGCTGTTTGTAACGTTGCCTAACTTTTAGTCCATTAAGACTGACATTTTTAACCTGAGTATCTGAATCAGGCTGATTTTGTGTTTAAAAAATACACAAACACTTCTATAATGTACAGGTATGTCCACAGGTATGTATTCACACACATCAATGTCCACAACAGAACTTCTGAAGGTAGTATCTAACTGCATCTTTTCCTAATCTCTTTATGTAGATTTCTCAGTGAAATTAATTACAATATTTACAAAAATATCTAAACAATGCATTATTAAATTGATAGGGTCCTGCAGACCCATTTTAGCACTTTTTTAACAATTTACTAAAAAAAAAATAATTATCCACAAGTTAAGTTGCAATGAACAGATGGATGACAAACGTATGCACAGATGAATTTAGTCACAAATCCATGTATCTAATTTTTATGCTCAAAACATAATACCACAGTGTCAAACATAATCCCTAGAGAATTCTAGTGCTGGGAAGGGCACTTCCTCTCATTTTACTATAAAAATGACCCTCAATCAGTGACAACTCTGTCTAAGCTACTCTCTGCGATGAGCTCTCTGACCTCAATGCGCTACTAAAAAAATGGCAAAGAAAAACTGTGGCTTTCTAATAAAAAGACCCCAATACCTGCTTGAACTGTAAGCTTCTAGTTGCTCAACCTATGCCAGTTAACAGAGAGTTCCCTGTTGACTTCAAAAGACTGGCCTTTTGCAATTGAGGGAAGACCTTTGTAACGTTTCTGTCAAGAAAGAAAACGTAAGGACATCCCTCTCCATTGCATAGGTGGAATAAAAAAATTAAATGCAATGTTGGAAAGAAACAGAAACATCATCTCTTACTGCTTCAGACCTTGCTTTTCCCTATATCTGGCAGCAAAACAGAGAGAGTTTGGAGTCAGCTATACTGTCTGTCACCTCAACAGGATCTGTAATGAATTTGCACATTTTGCTCCAACTACTGTATATCTAATCAGAAAAAGATGTCCCCATATCTCCCTGATCTAGCGCCAAATAGTAAAAGGTGATTCCTTATGTTAACAATTTCAGCAGAATGGCTTATTAAAACCAGATTTTAGGGTATTATAAAATGCTTAGAAGCCCTTTAAAATGTCAACCAGGATCCCCAGAGACTGCGTAAAATGTCAGCCCAGCTCAAGCGCCTGTTTTAAGCAGAATGAATTAGCAGCGTGCTGTCGGAGGTTGTTATCCAAAACAATCAGTTAAGAGGGAAAACATCAAGCTCTCTTTGTACTTTCTATATGAAAAGGGCCATTCAGAATGATCTCGTAGATTTCTGAAGCTGATTATTTAAAAACAGGTTTAACCAGGTCTACTCTCAATTTAGAAGCAGACCAAAACTATTACTGCCCTGTCCTCAGTCTAATCACATCATACACCTCTGACCAGTATAATCCCTTTTAACCAGGATAAGGTTATTTCACCATCAACATAACCAATTTAGCCTTCTAATCCTGTCCCATAACTAATCTAATCATCTTGTACCACCCTTTTAATCATGGGTTAATATTGTCACATCTGCCATCCACAGCCAATACATTCTGCCTCTCCGACCAATTTTATCTCATTTCCGCTTGCCCCCTGCTAACTTTCCATAATACCACTCTAATCAAGCTGAACTTCAAACCTCAGACCAGTCTAAACTCAGCATATACACCAGTCCTGCAGCTGGTTAATGCTGCCATTACAATTGGGCTACATCTCGAGTTGTCTGCAAAACCAATGAGACCTGCAGCCCAGGTAAACATCTTCCCTGCTTAAGCTTTTACCCACTGGCCTGAGGGAGGTTTAGGTCCTGTAACACAGTCTTTATCTGTAAAAATGCAACATCTCCTATTTGGTCACAGATTGTTTTTTTCTGCAGAAGAGTAATTCACTGGCCTCAGAGATCCTCATTATTCACCTTCTGTATCATTCAGTGCGTCACGGAGGAGTAACTTAGGACAGAATGTGGTCCTGGGAATTTGAGCAAGTAGCGAAAAGTTGGAAGACTATGGCATGAAACGCCAAAGATGACGTTCATGACAAATATTGCTTGGGATGCGAAGAGTAGAGGATATGGAAATTAATTCTGATGTTTCTTTTTTCGATTTCAGGATTCTTTTCAGAATATTTAGAATAAAAGCAGCTTGTGATAGAGATCATGTACTAAAGGGAAATTTAATATAACAGGAACATAATAAAAGTCCTTTAAAACTGTCAGTGTATAAAATAAAAGGATGTATTTTAGGATCTTTTCCCTATGGCCATTGATTTAAACAGAATGTGCTATGGCACAAACCAAATACTGTGGTGCGCTACCCTATAGAATCTAGTTAGATGAAATATGTGGGCAAATAAATGACAGCAGTTGTTTTGTGCTTGTTCAACAGCCTAATGAAATGAACTGGTTTTGTCTATGCACTTCATGTTTTCTCACCAAAATTACCACCATTCTCAGTCATTACAAAGACACAAGAACATTTCAGGTTATGGTTAATGTATACCGCTGGGCAGCATGGTGGAAGCTCATGTCACTGTCATCCTTGGTGTAATCATTAAGTAGCAAAACAGACATTCTAGAGATAGTAATTCTGTTGTGTCAGGCACTCAGCTCTATTCAGTCAAAAGTCTTTTGAGTTTTGCTACTGAAAGAACAGTGCTCTATCATTCTTACCTAGTATCTTGCTGATATTGGAGTTGTGCATGTCAGGGAAGGCTTGAAGGATCTTCCTCCGTTCATCTTTAGCCCACACCATGAATGCATTCATTGGGCGCTTGATATGGGGCTCATTGCTACCACGCCCTCTGGATTCCCGATAAATTCTGGACTCTGAAACTCCCGCGCTTCCTAAAAAGAGAGAGAAAAACATTCCCAGCTTGTGTTTCATTATGCAGCTTCCTCTGCCATCAGTAACCTATGTCAGATGCTGCACATTCAACGAGTCAGTGTTCACAATACGTTAATGGTGTTTCTTCTTTTTACTTGGAGCAGTAGGAAACCAAACCATACATGTCTAGTTTTTAGTTATTCTATTGATTCAGTATCACATAGTATAGATGTAATGAAGAGTTTCAATTGTTTTTTTCAACACAAAGCATTAAACAGGTTTTCTAAAACATCTTTTACTACTTAATAATGTAAACCCAACATTTATTAATGTAGATTTTCTTTTTACTTTCTTCCTTTCTTGCTTACGGAATGCTAGCCAAATTATGCTACCTGTCTTCGACCTTTTTTGTGATGGGAAGGGAGTGATATATGGCAAAATCAGGTGTTTCTTCTTAAGCAAGTCTCTAACTAGCAAATGAACATTTATACATCTGCCTGGTTTTGTGCTTATCCCTCTGTAACAACATGAACAATAGCAGAGAAAAAAACGAACATTATGTTTGCTTCATCAAACTAAGAAAGTTCCTACAGATGCACAGCATGCATTATCTATGAAAGATCAGGTCTATAATTCATGGACTCACTGTGTGATCTCATTTATCCCACATCTATTTGCCTCCTTTATTCCCTTCTACCATCAGAAATACATTCTTGGTCCAGAGTTGAGAAGTGCAGTGTACAATAGAGAAGGCTAAAAATCACCTCCAGACTTAAAACACCACACGACGAATCATTTTTTCCTGCCTTGTTTCATAGCCACTTATTGCTAACCGCTCTTACTCCTCACAGGCCTCCAAAGCACTTGGATTCTCCTCTGGATCCCGTTGACATGTACGCACAAACCTGGAAATAAGGATAAGCCATTTGTACTGACCGTCAGAATCTCCACTCATGTTGAAATCCATCATTGCGTGGCTAAACTTCCCGTCTTCGCTCTGTTTTACTGCCAGTTGCTGAGTCAGGGTCTCCAGTGTTGTTTTGTCCTGTATGGGCAAGATGACGGATTTGGATCAGGAAAATAATGAAACATTGTAACTGCAAATTTCATAGGTAATTTAGAAGGTTGAGAGGGAAGCTAGAGAACAATTCATTCGCAACAGTTTACGGAACCAGGTATTTAAGAATACATAACAATATTTTTTCTGGAAGGGAGATGGTTGCAGACTCTACCGAGTCCTTTTTAAAACATGCTTATTAGCTAGCGATGAGCAAACTTCATGGTGTTGAAAAGATTGGTTTAGTTAGGCATGATAAAATTGGCTACACATCTGAAGAATACTTCAACTCCCTATGTCCCTGGGACTGCAAAGCTGGACTGGAAGTTTAGATGATACACGCTCTTTTGCAATGTATTTATTGTTTTACTCCCAGCCTGCAATCAAAGTGCGGGGACATGGGTGCCTTTGCCCTTTTTCTTTTTTGAACAGCAATATTTTAGGAAGCAGCACATAGGGAAGAAAAAAACCCCTGTAGTTCAAACTTATTCAGGCCTTGGGAAAGGGTCAGCCTGAATTAAGCATGATACTTGGGCAGCAGTTTGTGTTCTTGTCCACACCGTTTTGCCCAACCCTACTAACACCCCGTCCGTCATTCATCTAGTCAGAACTATCTGTGAACCCTGGATTGCAACAGGCTAGTTCGTGCTGCCAATTAATCTGTCAGGCAGCAGCGGTGTCTAAAGACATTGCCAGAACAACATGCCAGGGCCATTAATTCCAATGTTCTCTTCAAAACACCTCACTCCTTCATGAATTGTTTGACTTTTCAAATACAAAGGTGTTCCATTTTCCAACTGTTTTTGTTTTCCCAATGAGTTTTACTCATAAACATTCTATCTTCTTGACAATCATATGTTTAAAAACAAATCCTTCAGGAAGGCAATACTAACATTTCAAAATGTTAGGCACTGTGCCTTTTGCACAGCTAAGAAAATGACATGATACGGAATGATAATAAAGTGGCTCCAGTTGAAAAAATTCTTTTGAGCTTCTTCCTGAAAGAAAGATTGCTGTTTTATTGCTCTATTCCATTCCTGATGACTGTAAAGGATCAACAAACTAAAAAAACTTTCAGATTTCCCATGGCAACTGGAGACTTTACAACTATTCTATGTAGCCTAATAATGTCACCGGGTTGTATTATAGAAGAAAACAGAAAAGAGAACAATACGAATGCAGAAACGTTTCCCGCAATGCGATGCCCTTGCATCTGCAATTCAAAGAATAGTTCAAATTCGTGCAAGTAATTTCGCAAGGATTTTCTTGAGAGTTAGAAACAAGGCTAATCTGCTCAACTTTGTACACTCACACAGTTTAGGGAACATGAGGTTAACTTTCCTACTCCTCATGTTCATTGTGGATCCCTTTTGCACTCCAGGTGCTCAGTCTATAAGCGGAAACGTCACCACCGAAAGCGTGCAAGAGGACTTAACCTCTTGGTTTTTGCAGGAAAAGCTCATGCCACAGTGTATCACAAGCAAAAGGGTTTCCGTAACACTACCAGGCACAACAGATCCAGAAAGCTTGGAGAAGCTTCGAATAAGCACCTGAACTATTCAGGCGTTTAGCTTTACCAAACTCTGTGACCTACCAGTTTTAACTCAGCTCTCATTTCCAAAGCAGCCCGTCAGCAGATGGAAAGTCAGGAATAAGTTGACTTTGTATTTCTTCCAAATGGGTATCAGCTATATAATGCAAGTCAACAGTTTTTCCTCAAGAAAAAAAACCTATTTACCATCAACTTCATAATGATAGAATTCAAAAATTTGTATGTCAGAAATAATTGTAAAATGCTGCCACCAACCTAAAATATAAAAGAGTATCTCCTCTTGTTGGGTATATTATGGGGCAGAGGAGTTATTCTATTGCAGACTTTGCCTGAATCATGTATAAACCTCTTAGAGAACCAGAGCCGAGAGCGCAAAGGGCACAGGCTTAACAGCTTTTTCTTTACGCAGTAAACGCAGCTGTGGAAGTCGGAGGCAGTTACATTCAGAACCACACTCTGCCGACATGATCTGATTGAGTCTTAAGGTCAGCGAATACTCCAGCATGCTGTCTGCAAGGTACACACCGGGTACGGCTAGTTTATCAGAGTTTGACTTAACAAGCCTACAGATGCTTTGCCGCTATCCATCTTGGGCAGAGTTTTGCATTTTGAGGTATAGCCATATTAGATGACGTAGAGCAGGCATGATCCAAGAGGGGCTGCCAAGGAAAGACAGATGAAGGCTGAGCTCCTGGGCTGTGCAGCTCAGCCCCAGCGCTTGGAGGTGGCTCTCCGGACGGCGGAAACGTGGGTGAGCGGGGAGACCACCCTTTCACGAAGGTGAAATTTACCCCCTGCTGCTTCAACATAGAGAATGACAATCAGCAACGATAAGGTGGCAGTTAGTTAAAAAGAACTTCTGCACGACGTTGCTCTTGAAACAGAGGATATCAAAACAGCCTGCTGTACTTTTCTGTGTTAATGCTGAGAGATGTTTAAGTTTAAAAAGTGTTCAGGCAAGAGTAAGTCTAAGGCCTGCTCTTTCCTAAGCATCTGGAACAGCCTTAGGAGAGCAGAAAGATCAGTGACACTCTGGCAGGATGTAAAAGCCTGACTACATGTAAGTAGCGTTCCGATTTCCTGTCCAACACTCTTCCCATTAAACACACAGCAGCTGAATTTCCCCAATTCTGACGTACAGAAATGCTTTTACAATTACAAAATATTTGAAAGGGACCAAGCCGCATTCCCTTGTTGTTTTGCTTGAAAGCATTCAGTTGATGACTTACTGCTTTTCGTTTGATGGAAGCATCTCTTTTCCTTTCCTACAGAGTCTTTCAGTTGATGGAGAAAGTATTTATGGAAGCTCCAAAAAAGCAAAGGAAAGAAAACATTTTCTTCCCTGACCCCAAATAAACTGGCAACCTGCTGACATTGCTAGCCCAGCCTCCCCTCAAAGAACCCGTTTAAGAACTTCAGACAAGAGATCCACAATGGTTTCAACTTTATACAAAAGGAGGATCTATTTATCATCATTATCTTAATTCAACAGTAAATGACACATTCTTAAAACTGCCACTACTCCGCTGTGTCGGATTAGCTATGTAAACAGCAGCAAGCTGTGGTACCATCCACGCATGTTAGGTTCAGTGGCACACTTTAATAAAGTAGTTGTGATACCGCACTACAATTCAGGAGGCAGCGGCACATTCCTGCACATTCGACTGGACTATGCCGTAAACTTAATTTACCACTATATCAAGCTCTACATCCAATTGTCTTGCTGGGAAGGAAAAGGAATGGGGAAGAGTTCAGCTGATGAAATTGTACATGTTTTCAGGTTTTTAAAGCTACAAGAAAAAGAAGCCTGGACAGCAGGTTGAGGGAGGTGATTCTCCCCCTCTACTCTGCTCTGGTGAGACCCCACCTGGAGTTCTGCGTCCAGCTCTGGGGCCCCCCAACATAAGGACTTGTACCTGTTGGAGCGACTGCAGAGGAGGGCCGCAAAGATGATCAGAGGGATGGAGCACCTCTCCTATGAAGAAAGGCTGAGAGAGTTGGGGTTGTTCAGCCTGGAGAAGAGAAGGCTCCAGGGAGACCTTATAGCAGCCGTTCAGCTCTTAAAAGGGGGCCTACAAGGCGGCTGGAGAGGGACTTTTCACAAGGGCATGTAGTGATAGGAAAAGGGGTAATGGCTTTAAATTGAAAGGGGGTAGATTTAGACTAGATATAAGGAAGAAATTCTTCACTATGAGGGTGGTGAGGCACTGGAACAGGTTGCCCGAGAAGCTGTGGATGCCCCAGCCCTGGAAGCATCCAAGGACAGGCTGGATGGCGCTTTAAGCAACCTGGTCTAGTGGAAGGTGTCCCTGTCCATGGCAGGGGGGGTGGAACTAGATGATCTTTAAGGTCCTTTCCAACCCAAACCATTCTAAGATTCTATGAAAACAACCAGAGCGATAATCCCTTCATTTCAGATTTGCCCCACACCCCAAAGGTATGAAATGCTACTCATCCTGTGAGGATCACAAGAGTAACATCAATTGCATCCTAGAACCATACTGCTGGGAAGAATAGGCAAGGCTGGTCCAGACTCAGGGAAGCGCTGCAAAGTCTTGCTTGTGAGACCTACTAACAAGCGGACTATGTAAAGCAGAGAAACAAATGGTAAGAAACACTTCTGCTCTTGCAGGAGGAGAAACACAAGGATCTCTTGCTAAAGATTAAGTGATTCCTCTTCTCCTAAATTTCTGAATTTTGGATCAGGCCCCAGAAGGCTGAAAGACATCTTATAAATATCTTTTTCCTCTACGAAGAACTTCAGTAGAGGTTGGGAAAAACTATCCTCATGGTCACTTCTATTATATCAAGAGACATTCTCTGTAGGGGCAGCGAGAACTCTTGTTATCTGGATCATTTAAAATGGCAATGGGCAAACCAGAGAAGATAATACTGTAGAGAGCAATCATTTCCACAATAGCCCAATTGTTCAAAGTATAACCAGAGAGGTTTCATCAATAGCCACAATGTGATGAGAAGTTTCTAAAACTTTATTAATCAAAGAAAGTAATCTGCTGGAGAAGACTGATTGGTACCACAGCTCCTAGCAATGTTCTAATTATAGTTAAAAGAACAATGAAAAACACATACACACAAGGAAAGTGTCATGTAGAAAAAAAATATATAAAAAATGACTAAGCACCACAAGTCGGACTCAGTTTTGTGGTCAGCTGCAAAAGTTACTTGGCTCCCTGTCATGGATAGCTGTCATAGTTTAACAAAACATTGATCTAAAAATGACAAGAACTTGGTTGCTGTCTCTTTCATAGAAGAAACATAAAACAAGAAGAGTCAAAACATATGTAGAACAGCCTGATAATGTTTGCCAGAACTCCTCCCACTACTGTACAAACGTGAAGCAAAACCTTGGAAGGTTTGAGAAAGAAAGAATTCTGATATATTTGGCTACTCCCCTCTGACCTCACTGCTCCTGTCT